CTTGCTCAGTCATCAAACGTAGAGCTGCGTCGTATCGACCGATTCTTTCTGCATGTGAGTTTACTAGCGACTGCACGACTGCCGTTCGATCTGCCCAGTCGGCAAAACCAGTGCCGTAGGGGGCATGCTTGTTGCTTTGCGGCACGGACGTTCAAAAACCTAGCGACGGCGGCCGCGTCTCATAACCTGTAGACAACAAGGCGCGTGCCCGGAATGAGAGCGCTCGAGATCCTATTGAACTCGATCCGCATTCATGCAACCTTCGATATCCTAGTTATTCTATAACCCTTCTTTTAACCTATACGTACTACTTATGTCATAAACAGACTCACCATGTCGAGTATTATTAACACGTTTATTTGTTAACAAACTCGAACTGACGCACACATAAACCACAGTACATCGTGATTTCAGTAATATATGGTTAATTGATGGAGCAGAGATTTTAATTGATAATATGAGTTTTAGGCATGGAATAATTGTCATTTACTTCGTCTCCTCTTATGATTATCCAATCAGAGGTGTTTTTCAGAAGTATGTCTCATTTAGACCATTTTCCAAGACCACAGAAATATACATCTGACCGTGAAGTGACCCACGCTCTTTAACCCACACGTAGAACCTAGCCTCTCTCTTAAATAAGCGCGTCTCCTAATGGTCGTATTCTCTCCCGCACTTCATTCTCCATGTTATACATTTTTTAGGTGAACGTCTTATATATACTGACCTGTTACTATAGCTAACGAATGTCGGTTTAGAAATCGCAACTTCCGTTGATAATACCTATCCAAATGTCGCCTGTTAGCGTTATAATACAACCCTATTCGTGGCCACGAAGGGCTAGCTAGGGCCGTACCGTTGCGCGACCTCCTGCGTACCCGCCGCGCGCTTGGTTATAGTGCCGTATTTACCTCTTCACAGGCAAGACAATTTTCCCCGAGAATTGTATTCGATGTATTCAGATAAATAAAACCGATTTAGAATAGTAGAGTGTGCGCGCCTTTCCGCATCTCACCCTGAGCCCTGTGTACGGCCAGGAGTGGCATCCGTTTTTGTAAATGCATGCGTGGTGTGCGCGTGTTGCGCGTGTGTACGTGCCTCTCGCGTTGTTGTGTGTATGCGGTTGCATTTGCATGTGTGTGCAGGTGTGTCTAAGCCCGTTTCTATGTCGCGCTTTACAATAAGGTTACACAGATAAGATTTTAATACTTCGTGTATATTAAGATATTTTAGATCCAAATAAACATTCCCATTAGCACGCCGTGATATAATTTACCATTACCAATCCTCTCACTCATCCCTCTCGTTTTCTCCGTCCCTCATCCCTCTCCCTTTCATCCGCTAACTCCGCCCATTCTTGTCGTACGCCGATTGTTATCTTCTGGTGTTGTCCAAACTGCTCGCGACACTTCGTATCCTTTACGCGATACACGGAAAAAGCCGAGTTTATTCGTCAATAGTCGAATGGAAGAAATTCAAATAATTGATAATCGAAAGCCTGTGACTGCGGCTGTATCTTACCTAGTTCGCTTCGCCAAGCCCGCGCCATCTTTATAGGGGTCTAGCCTGGCCAGGACATTCTCAGCATCGTCTCCAGGACTCATTGTTTGCGGCGCCTTGGGAAGGTGCCTAAACCTCTCATTGTGTTAGGGCCTTTCGGTGTTTACAAGCTGCTAACATGAAAAACACATAAACCCATTTTAAAATAGGTGGAAACACTGAAAAAATGAGTTTTATATCTTCGCATACTACAGGAGTCATTCTTTATAGGGCGATCCAAGGTTTTCGTTATTCCTGAGCTGGTACAAGTGACAAAATTTCCAAATGTAATTTAACAAGTGACATTAATATATTATATGTTCATATGATATACATATATATATATATATATATATATATATATATATATATATACATGTATATATATATGATCGTGCATTGTCACCTTGGCGGTTGCCAATGAACTCCTTCTCCATGTAGATACCGCTATCTGATCCGAGCCGCTTGTGTGCGGTGGCGCCCTCTACATCAGCAGTGACAAGCGCAGGGCTCGGAGTCGCCTGCGCTGCTTTTTGGTGTTTGTGAATCTGCATTCTCTTGATGGCAACGTAGACTATGAGTCCGGCAATGACGAGACCCAGCAAAGCGCAGTACAGTGGAATGATATTGTCGTGGGTGCCACCAGAGGGCGCTAGTTCAGCGCGCGAACTCGGAGCTGGCGTCGACGGCCGATTGCGCAGGTACGGCATGTCTTTATCTACGGAATAAAACGTAGTAGTTAGCGAGATATCTATTGCGCGCTTGCAAATTGCATGCGCTGCTAAACTAAAAAAAAGGAGTACATTCAGGTTCATGCTCCTGGCTTTGCGACTCAACGGTAGCTCAGCTACCTACGCATTTCGCGGGACCATATATACCAGAAATCGGTGCGCGCTGGAGTATACCTACATGTATATAGTACATTCAGTGTACACGAAAAATTCCGCAAGAAGGATATAAATTCAGTTAATTTACGCTTAACGCGACCAACGCTTCCTGGCGGAGCTGAATTAAGCACAACTGCTGTAGTAGGGCGCGCCCTAAGCTGTAATAGGGTATGAGAAAGTTTTGAAATTCACATGTTTGTACATCCCCTAAAAGTCCGTGACTAGTGGTTATTTTTCCCCTGTCTAATAAATCGAGGAACAGCAGGGCGCGATGACCTCTAATAACCATGCCGAAGCTGTTCACGCTGATGCCGTACGTGATGCCCATCGCGATTAGAATCGGTGATTTATCTACGATTCATTCTTTCTTCTAGCCGCCTACAGGTGGCAGCACGATGCCTAGCGCGGTAGCTCACCGAGGCAGATCGTGTCCTGTATGGGTTCGCAAGGCTGCAGCATGATGTGCTTCTCGCTGCAGACGCTGCACGGCCGGCAGGCGTCCGTCTTGCTGAACATCTCCGAGAAGGTGCCGTTCCGACACTTGCGGCAGATGGTGTTGTGTCGCGCGCCGCACGGCCGCGTAGCGCCGTAGCCATGCGAGCACATGTCGCACGGCACGCACGTCCAGCCCCGCGCGTCGAAGTAGTAGTCGCGCTCGCACTGACACTCGCTGTCGCGCGTCACGTTGCACGGCGACGCGACGCGCGCTTCGTCCGGACACGTCCTGCAGGCGCGACACGGCGCACCGCCGGCCTCAGCGGAAAACGTGAGGCCCTCCGTGCACGGCTCACATGTAGTGTTCGCTGCCGGCGTGCAGGGAGAGGCGAGGCCGTGCCCCGCGGGACACGCGTCGCAGCAGCGGTCGTCCACGCCCGCGTATTGCCCATCAGGACAGTCCGTCATCACTGCGGGCGCCATCTGCAATGGGAATAGCGTATGCTGTTAGAAGTTAAAACGTTTAGCCGATTGACGGGTTAATAACACACGGGTACAGGTCTCACACATACGCACGAGAATACAGACGCTTGCGCGCACGCACGCACACACACACACACCACACACACACACACACACACCACAACACCACACCCACACAGCCTCTACCAATCGCACCCACTCCGCACTCGCAACCAACCAACACCCACGCATATCATAGATAACATACGTTAATGACCTACGACGAGCAGTCATTAAAGGTTAGCACAGTCCTTGCTATCTTTGGCTTACGCCTGGTACTACCAGTAGGCCGCTATAGCAAAAAGCCTATTTCATAGATTTTTTCAGAGTGCCCTGTTATTAAGTTTACGTATCCTTTTAGACGTTAATGCGTTGCCGTGATCGGTCGCGGAACAGGCGCGCAAGCAAGCACGCGCACGCACACACACACCCACCACACACACCACACACAGCGAGCCAGCCCAGACATTGACTTCTACATCTACTCTTCATTGTGCGGGCGCTCGGCAATCCTCATGCACAAATAACACGTGCTTTCAGGAATTCCTTTACATATACTTGCTATGCCCAAGGTGCGTGCCGCTGCGTGCGTGCGGCTGCGCTGGCGTGCGCTACGTGAGTCAGCAGGTGCCGGCGACTCGTGGGCCACATGGGGACAGTTCGCCACTATCGTGTGCCGGGTTGTCAAAATACCCAACCACCCCGCCGTGCCTGCCATAACGGTAAGTAACGCTGATATAACAATAAGCTACACGGAATATTGTTAGACTTTGTTAATTGCACGTATTCTACCTCCTCGCCGTTTGTTGTCTGATTATACATTGCATAACAATAATTATGTGCTTCTTCGAAGTGGGACCACCCCCGGACACAGCAGTCTAGGCGCTATGATGTATAGCCTGCCTCGGTCTGCCACTGCCGCTTCATAAGAACAGTGCCGACTTTCCAGGCATCCTTAAGCATGCTCAGCCCGAGGAAAGACAAAAGCGTTTCTCGCGCTGCTTATAGACACAGTGAACGAGCTCCACAATTAAACAGTACTTCGCGTTTCTTGCTTTACATTTGCCCTCGGTTCGTCGCAAATAAAATAACCCGCGTCTGGTTCACGATACTCCGCACAATTTCACCAAATGACGCCCAATAAGGCGTCATTACGCCGAGCCGATGGCTTAAGGTCGCGACTGACCAAATTCCGGTCAGCGCTTTGTACAAATTTTACGAGATGTTGGTTCTTCCGTGGCGAATAAGAAATGATCGAAAAGGCGCGTTTATGGTGGAGCAATATAAGAGCGAGTAATGCCATAAACCGCCATCAGGTCTGCCGTGCTCCTGCAGCTAACCCTCCTCGCACTATTACACTAGAAATCGAAACGTCATTAAAAAGCCAGTTGCCATAAGCGCCAGATGCTCGACCGTACAGCTGAAAAAAACACTTTCCTACGCCCCGAAACGCAACCCTGTGTCGCACAGCCAAGGTAAAGAATGGACACGGAGGTGTGTCCCTCTCGTCTACAACGCGGCGTGCACGCATACGCGATGCGATTACAGCAGGAAACACCAGCAGTTATGCGCCATTCGTAAATTATTCAAGCGACCCGCTTTCAAAAATCGAAATAAAACGCGATTGTCGGTGTACGCGCATAGCTACGGGTTATCCAGATGGAGCGTTTACGCGATCGTATTATTGCATTTACTCCCTCTGTCGGCGCTTTATGGAATTACCGGCTACCTTGCTTTGTAGCCGCTGATCCTGTGCCGTTGCTGATGAGACAGTGTAACGCAGGGTCTGCACGAACAGAGCAAAGCTAATTTAATCAGTTTCGGCGGTTGATCTCAAGCGATCAGTCGAGTGAGATGAATTTAAATCCAATAAAAATTAATTATCTGCACCAGTTATGCGGTGGTTGTCGGCAATCGGCCCCTGGTGTCGCAGAATCCATCACTGTCAAACTACAGGCTGGCTCTTCTCTCTCTCTTCTCTCTCTCTCTCTCTCTTCTCTCTCTCTCTCTCTCTCTCTCACACACACACACCATTTCTTTCTCCTCTCTCTCTTCTCTCTCTCTCTCTCTCTCTCTCTCTCTCTCTCTCTCTGTCTGTCTGTCTCTGTCTAACCTCTCTCGGGCATATCCTAACCGTCGGTGTCTTTCACCCTCTCTCCAGCGCTGCCTTTCGCTCTCACGCACTCTCCACTCTCTCTTTTGCGCTCTGTCCGATAGGCCCTCGAGCCGTACAACTCTCCCTCCACAACCCACGTTAAACCGAGTTTTTTCCAACCTAAGGCGTGGCAGAGAAATAGGCGTCGAAGCAATCGAATCGCACTCGATCATCGGCTGCGTGACCTGCGTGACGTACCGCTGACGTCCCGCTGACGTAACCGATTTCTGTTCCCTATTCTCGGAGGCGCCTCTGTCAAACGCAACCGGTAATTTTCGCCTTCATTTTTAACCACCGGCAACTTCGACTGCACCCCACGTCCACCACCCTTCACACGATCAACGACCAAATCAAACACGGATTTTTCACCAACTCTTTCGTCACTATGCACATGATCGCGAGCTTATACTACAGTATTCAGCATGTAACTCATAAATATGAATTAACAGCTCACGAAATAATACGAACATAATTTAGCAGGCCCCTGCGCATACAAGCATGCGCGTGTAATACGAACAACGTTTAGCAGGTCCCCTATACGTACCATCACGAGCTTACGACACTATAACATTTACTACTGCTTGCTCGCATGATATTGATAACCGCTAGCGTACGCGACGCGCAGCAAGAGTCGCCGAATAATACACCGATACGATTACGAAGCCGTCGTTGATACTTGATCCCATCGCGGGGGTAGTGCGTCACGCGCCGGGCCGTGCTTCAGTCCGGCCGGTGTCCGTGCGTAGCGAGAGCCTGCGGTCAAGCAGGACGCTGGGAATGGAGGGGGTGTACGTGCGACGGTTCCGTACGTAGACACGTAGTCGAGGTTTGTCGCCGGCGAGTGCGAGCTCGCGTACAAAACGCTCGCTGCTCGGCGGCGAACATGTGGCGGGAGCTGGTTGCGCTTTACGACGAGGAGTGGCGGCACTGTTCAAAGCAGGCGCCTCGCGATGCTGCCTCTCATTACAGCGACCCGTATCTGTGACATAACTACATTTCGCCGTCGGCTATCCGGGCTCGGAGGAGAGAGAGAGAGAGAGAGAGAGAGAGACGAGATTGCGAGAGAGAAGAGGACGGATGAGAGAGAGAGAGAGATCGAGCGCGGAGAGCGGCGTGGCCACTGTGTGTACGCGCTGCGCACGTGGTTTGCAAAAGTACTCACATGCGCCTTAGCTGCTAGTGGTGTCGGTTTTCCGACTCTTTTAATTTCTTATTGGCTTTTCAATTACAACGTTGGAATAAGGTTATAGCTGCGTCAATATGTATGAAAAAATGCTTCACGCAAATATAACGATATTTCGTTCGTGCCTTATACAACGCCAGCCGTCGCCACATGCCCGCCATTGATTGTGATGTTGGTAACCTACACGGAGCCTTACACACACTCACAGACGACACCGCCAATTTACATATAACTCAGTGGGTGATTTAATAGAGCAAAATCAAAATCTCGACGTCAATCTTTGTGAATGACTAATGACCATTTACCTGACTGAACGGGCGCACCCCATAACTCATATCCATTAGTTACTTAACTGGACATGACCTCTCGTTAAACTGACGGCATTTATCTAAGTGTGATTTGTAAACGCTTCATGCCATCGACGTTGCTGTGTTAAACGCACGCGCTATCGGGTGGAGAATGAATTGTGATCTCTATAGCGGAAATTGCTTTTGTGCATTTGACCTGGATCTATATAATTTCGCAGAGAGAACGGCGTCAACGTCAAGCGTCCCACAGCAATGGACTGAACATTGCAGTGGCCATGTGACACCGCCCGCAATAGCGCGCGTAGATCCACCGCAGCTGACGATTCGATTGCCAGTGCCACGCCGCAATGTAGCCGCCATAGATCCCCACGCCTGGAACAATTCCGCATGGCAGTGCACGCGCCCGCCCGCGATAGCCGCCGTAGATCCTACCGCCGTGAACTTTCGCACTGCAGTGCAGGCGCCGCCCATAGCCGCTAGCATCACCGCAGTGAACATTCGCATGGCAGTGCACGCGCCGCAATAGCCGCCTAGATCCACCGCAGTGAACATTCGCATGGCAGTGCACGCGCCGCAATAGCCGCCTAGATCCACCGCAGTGAACATTCGCATGGCAGTGCACACGCCGCAATAGCCGCCTAGATCCACCGCAGCCGTAATGATGTGAGTCCCTGTTATCTCCTTCGAGCATCCAGAGGGAGCTTTCCCTAGCGCGCGGCGAACTGAAAGCGTAGGCCGCAGCTTGCGTTTTACTACTCATTCTGGCTCGACTGCCATCTACTTTATAATCCGCACGCATCGCGTCGACGTTCGCAGCACATGCGGGACGACCCGGCCCCACTGCGATTATCTCGCACAGGGTTCTCTGCAAAACCACGATTCGATCGTAAAAACTTCTTTCTCGTCGGCAAAGACGCTCATCGCAAATTACAAACCATAAACGGTCGTAACAGGAATTTCACTCCGGCGGGATGTGGCGAGGCCCTCTTGGTCGACTAGACTTGCACCATTTCACCATTTTATTTCTCAGTGCTCGGCCACGACGGCCACAAAAAGCGCGAAAGCGAAGCTAGCGAACGTTGGCTTTTGTATACTACTCAGCGCTCATGAGATCCGCTTGCTTTATTTCGCATTATGCTGTAGGTTCCATGCACTCACAACGTTTAGACGTGCTAAAGCCACCGTAAGTACATCGCGGCGTTTTGTGCCAGTAGATGCCTTGCCATGTTTCCAGTAGCAAGAATCGGAGTAAAGGCTGAAAATAATTGCCATTGAAACTGAGCCGATTATATTTTGCAGAGATGAGAGAGGACGC